CGAGTTGTTCCCCTACGGTCAAACTCTTAATTCGGACCTGTACTGTCAACAATTGGACCGTCTGAAGGAATCAATCGCCCAGAAGCGGCCAGCTTTGGCCAATAGGAGAGGAATTGTGTTCCACCAGGACAACGCCAGGCCACACACATCGATAGTGATTCGCCAGAAGCTCCGGGAGCTTGGTTGGGAGGTTCTTATGCCACCTTATAGTCCGGACCTGGCACCAAGTGATTACCACTTGTTCCTGTCTATGGCGAATGATTTTGCTGGTGAAAAATTCGCCTCAAGAGAAGCTTGTGAAAATCGACTGTCCCAGTTTTTTGCCTCCAATTCGCCGCCACCTAGTATGCCCTCCTCCTTCTATGGTGGATCCCCCATGGTGCATTGCGTCCAAGCACCCGGGGGCTGCCAAAAAATTGGTGTCGACCCTGGGGCTTATTTGTATTATTTGCACCGGATGAGGAGGGGCAACGGTGGAGACGGGCATACATGGACAGCAGGTCTTAAAGGATAGCAACCTTTGACTTTGAGAGACTGACAGCTGTACCATTTGGTACAGTAACATTGTTTCTCTCTGTAGTCGCCGTGCGCTCGGGATCGCGCCAGAGATGTCGCTTTCGAACGGCATCTCTGAGCGTTATCTAGGAAGAGGAGAGCGTCGTGAGCGTGGAGCGTCAGGTAGCTCAGTGGTTTAGAGCAGTCGCCCGACAAGCGAAAGACCCGGGTTCGAGTCCCGGCCTAGCTAGCAAGACCGCGCTCTCGATATTTTTCTCTTTCTGGAACGAAACAGATACGCAGATCTCGAACGCACGGCGTCTCGCCGCCACCTAGTATGCCCTCTTCCTTCTATGGTGACTCGTGTCAAAATCAAGAAAAATTGGCACGATCATTGGGAGTGACTCACATTTCAAAACGTCTCAAAGCCATGGGAATGATTCAGAAGCAAGGAAATTGGGTGCCGTACGAATTGAAGCCGAGAGATGTTGAACGGCGTTTGTTTGCTTGTGAACAGCTGCTTGAAAGGCAAAGACGGAAGGGATTTCTGCATCGCATTGTAACTGGGGACGAAAAATGGGTTCATTACGATAACTCCAAGCGCAGAAAATCATGGGGAGTTCCCGGCCATGTTTCCACGTCGACGGCCAAACCGAATATTCACGGCTGCAAGGTCATGCTCTGTATTTGGTGGGACCAGCTCGGCATAGTGTATTATGAGCTGTTAAAACCGACTAAAACAATCACAGGCGATCGGTATCGAACGCAATTGATGCGTTTGAGCCGAGCATTGAAAGACAAATGGCCGCAATACAACGAGAGACACGATAAAGTGATTTTGCAACATGACAATGCTCGATCCCATGTTGCAAAAGTGGTCAAGACATACTTGGAAACGTTGAAATGAGAAGTCCTACCCCACCCGCCGTATTTACCAGACATTACTCCCTCTGACTATCACTTGTTTCAATTAATAGCACACGGCCTGACTAACCAGCACTTCCGGTCTTATGAAGAAGTAAAAAATTGGATCGATTCGTGAATCGCCTCAAAAGATGACCAGTTTTTTCGACGCGGGATTCGTACGCTGCCCTAAAGATGGGAGAAAGTAGTGGCCAGTGATGGACAATACTTTGAATCATAAATGTATAACCAGTTTTTTACAATAAAGCCTCGAATTTCGGAAAAAAACGGCGGAAGCAAAGTTGTACACCTAATATTTAATTAAAAAAGTTTCTTTATTAATACAAACATGAAAGGTATCATGTTTTACACTTATATTGTCCTCCAAACATACTATTTCAACTTTTATAGTACATACATGATTTGTTGTAGCTCAAACAGTAAATGCAATAACTATTTATTTTTATTGTTTAGTCATCAACAATTTATCTAATTGTTTAAATGAGATTACAAGATTTCAAATAATGTAGAAAAAAAAAGAAAAGTCCTCTAAGGTGATTTTTATGAAAAACACGCTTTAAAAACTATATTGATGACGTAGATAACTTAATACAAGGGTACTCCAATGTTTAACGACTCGGGGGCATTCTCGTTATCCGATCGAGCAAAAGTTTGACAGGAATTTTTTTTTGTCAAATGGAAACTTTTTGGAGGGTGCTGCGTAAAAAATTTGAAAGTCGAAAAATAAGGACCATCCTAATATACAGGGTTTCCGACTCGTACCATACTAGGGGGCCTATTCCGTAACCACTTACCAACAATTGTCGGATCGGTAGACGTCGCTGCGCAGTTTTTTTATACTACAGAAAAGCTGCGCAACGACGTCTACTGATCTGACAATTATCGATAAATGGTTACGGAATAGGGCCCCTGAACTAATATATAGCTAGATTAGGTCGGGGTGAGTAATAGAATCGATGCCTTTTTTTAAACAACCACGTAAAATTTTGAGATATTAACGATAAAAGATCTCTAATATATACAAGGTATCCCGTATCACCTTCACAATCTCTCCTCAGGACGTAGAGCGGATTGAGATGAACACAAAAGTCCATACTGTTTTGCGATATTCTCAATAATAACCGAGAAATTAGTTAAAGAAGATTGATAAATGATCATGAACGATATAGTAGATGAGCTGCAGTGGCACCGTCTGCCGTTGTATACATTAAGTAAAATTGAACAAAAAAGTCCTCTACCATTTTGTAAATAACCACATAGATTTTTAGATATTAATTAAAGAAAATTGTTACATGATTGTGTACCACAATGCACAAATTTTCTTTTATTGATATCTAAATATCTATGTAGTCATTTGCAAAATACTAGAGAACTTTTTTGTTCAGTTTGACTTAATGTATAAGTATACAACGGCAGACGGTGCCACTGCAGCTCATCTACCATATCGCGCGGGATCATTCACCAATCTTCTTTAATTAATTTCTCGGTTATTATTGAGAATATCGCAAAACGATATGGGACTTTCGTCCGTAATAGAAATAATTATAAATGAAATTTAGTCGAAATAATACTACTATTATATAGTTAAGTTTTATATATTATATATCCTAATGATACGTAGAATATTTAGTGCAAGACTCAAATTAACATTTATACTTTTGTACCACATCCACACACCATACTTAATGAAAAAGTTAGCAAATTGTCGAGGGACACAAATAAGTGGACACTCGATTACTCCGGTGAAAAATGTAAACAAACTTAAAACTAGTTATTGCTCGCACGTAGTAGTTGCAAATGTAAACAAAATTTTTGTTTAGTTTAAGTCTAGACTTTGTACAAGGCAGATCAATTAGCAGAATGTCCGAAAGAAAAGAAATTTCATATCAAGTTCGTCATTTGATTGTTTTGGATTGCTGCAAAAATTAAGTTATCGTGTGATAGTATAAAAGTATAGTGTATCAAAAAGTGCGGTAGGAAAAATTTATAAGAAATATTTATCACACAATACAGTGGAAAATGTAAGAAGTCGTGGTCGGAAACGCTGTACTATTGTAAGAAGATCGTTTAATTATTCGACAAAATTCAAACATTGCATCGCGAAATATTTAAGAAATCTTAATATTAAATGTGTCATCGAAAATGATAAGACGGAGATTACACGAGGCTGGATTAAAATGCTGCAGAGTTAGATATAAGCCAAACATTAATAAAACAAATGCGAAGAAACGTTTAGCTTTCGCTAAAAAGTACGTGAACATGCCGTTGTCATTCTGGAAAAAAATAGTGTGGACCGATAAAAGTAAATTTAAGTTGCGGAAATTAAAGAAGAAGAAGAAAATGTGGAGGAAGAAAAATGAAGCCTACAAAAAGCCGTTTATAACGCCAACGGTTAAATTTGGTGGAGGGACGTTGATGGTATGGGGATGTTTTTCTTAGCATGTTTGATAACAGCTACCAAATGAGATAGGTCCGCGAGCAATCGTCCATTTTCTTCGTCGGCCGCGGCGAGTCGTATGTGCCGCCTGCCGTATCGCGCGCTCTGATTAGTCCATCTACTTTATTTAATAACACGAAATTATACGTGGTTGTTTAAAAAAGACACCGATTCTATTACTCACCCCGAACTATTCTAGCGGTATATTAACTCTGATACGGTACGAGTCAGACACCCTGTATAATAGTAATATTATTTCGACTAAACCCCACTTATAACCATTCTCACTATCTGTTCACTCAATTTTGTCCGCAACTGTATATATGTATATATATATATATATATATATATATATATATATATATATATAATTATATATATATAATTATTAACATTTTTACAATAAATGGGCAATTAAAAACTCGAATTAAGGAACATAAAAACTAATTATCTCACTGGAACAATGAATTATCAATTGCGCCACTATATAAATTGACAGGATATAAATTTAATTGGGAAAATTTCAGAATTCTAGACAAGGAAGAGGTCCTATATAAAAATAATTATGTCTGATATGTTTTTCATAAAACGTCAAACTAAAAGTCTTAACCTACAAGAGGACACTTATTGAGTAAGGACAATTGTTTTATCATCGAGAGGCTCCCTATCTTTTGATTTATCTTGGTGTATGTTCTTATTTGTGTTGGATGGTTCAAGATATATTTATAAAAATGATCATTCAAACACTATATCGATGACCTAACTGATTATAACTAACGAATTATTCTTTGTTCTTGACATGGACCCTAGGTTTATTTGATAAATCAGATAAGATGTTTTAACTTTATTATCTCAATTAATTTTTTATGATTTGTTTATCCTTGTTTCATTCTTTAAAGGCAACATACATTAAAAATTATGGGAACTAAATCAACTTTGGATCACTCATTCTTTGTAATTTCTCTCCAGACTAAAGAAGATCCAAACCGAGGATCGAAACGTTTGTGTATAATAATTAATAAATAAAATTGATCTGACATCTACTATGCTATTTTTTCGTTTTTTTCGCTTTTCCATTAGCGTATTGGCTCTTATTTGCCCAAAATAAATAAGTCTGTTCTCATTAACATTTTCAATTACTCACCTAATGGGAGATGCAGCAGCTTCTAATTGGCTTGGTTTATCTCTCGTAAAAGTTCCGACAATGTTCTTTTCAATTTCTTCATGTTTGAGTACAACCTCGTATGTTATATCTGTCGGTTGCACCACAAATCCGCTGCACTTGTCTTCGACTATTTCGCAACTGGCTATACCTGTCGTTTCCTCAATATGTTCCGGTAATTGTGGTGGAGAAATGATTTGTTCGTTACTCGGAAAGATGTCGCTAGAATCGAGACTCTTGGATTTACCGCAATTACGGAGTCTAGGCGGTTTCGAGTTCTGTTGATTTACGTCGGAGTGCTGAGGCTTATTCTTTTTCCTCCGTTTCGTTTTCCGCGACACCAAAACCAGTCTCTTGTTTGGCGCGTCGCGCCGAAGCATTCTTAAGGCTACGTCGCACGGAACCAATTGAGCGTCCACCAGGTCTAGGTAACCGACACTGCAGCTTCTAACTATCGAGTCGTTTGAGCATATCGGACTGATACTGATCACTGTTGAAGTCCTATGAACGCCGCGTAATTGCTCCAACGTCTCCGTATCACCACGAATTTCGTCGTCGATGAAATACATCTCATCCGACTTGCCTTTAGCGGGCGTCCCGGTGCTCACATAGCCGGAGTTCATCTTTCCATAGCACACGTGGCACTTGAAATCTTTAATCCCGTGCTTAGAGAAACACTGCGAACATGATGATCCAAAACACTTATCAATGTTCTCCGGGAACTGATAGGAACACGCCGGTGAGACTATGCTTGCACTAGTGTGCACACCGCTCTTGTGGAGCAAAGTCGATCCTTGCCCAAGTTGCGTGTGAAGAGAGCCATTTAAAGGCGTTGTATTGGGATTCGCCATACTTGTCTCAGTGTTTTGATTATTTTTAGTATGTACAAAACTATGAGTGCTATGCGACGTCACATCTTGAACAGTGCCGATGTGCGACGTGGTAACTGAGTTGACATTACTGCCGCAGGCGGTATTACTTAGACCGTTCAGATACACGGTTTGTGCCGAGGTGCAGTCTACGGTATTTTCTAAATTTTTCAAAATTGAGGCCTGAGAAATGTTCCGACTGCTCGATTCTTCCGTGCTCGAGGCCTGACCGTTATGTATGGACATAGAAATAATGTTCGCCGGGCAAGACGTCAGATTCGGTTTGTCGTCCTGCGAGAGCTGATTGAGCTTATTGTTTTCCAACTCTTTTTTGGTGGCCATACCTGCCTGCTGATCCGCGAGGACGGTCTTCATCCTCTGGATACTATTGGCGTAGTCAGCATTGGCGTTCGAAGTCGCTATTAACGTCTGCGTAGGTGCTACTGCGTTTTTCGGCGATTGCAGGGCCGGCACGTCACAACAACGCGGCGGATTGTGCCTCGGTGGCGTGCGATAAGTGTTCGTGGGAGCGTTTCTGATATTTTCGTATAGATTACCCATGTCTTGCATGTCCACATATGGAAACTCGCTCTCGTAACCTTCGACTCTCGCTAACGACGGAGGCAAAGTCTCCGACGTTAAGAACTGATTTGAAATTTGAGACTTGGGTCGATTTGGGTTGAGTCGGGTGTTGCGAGGAGTCATTGGAGCGATTGGAGGCGGCTGTGTCTCCGGGGTGGCTCGCGAGCTCGCCTGCAATTCTTGATACGACTCTTCTTCATCCTCAGAGAACAGATTAGGATTGAACGTAGGATCCGGACCTAGAAAAGAACCATTATGTGTAGTTCATGTTCGTATAAGATGCCGTCTTATAAACGATAAGAATAAGAAATAAATTAATAAGAATGTTCTATTGTTCATAGTGTATAATGAATCAAAAGATTATTTTATCTAAACCGTTGTAACAGTTACTGTTACTGTTACTGTAACAGTTACTGTTACTGTAACAGTTACTGTTACTGTAACAGTTACTGTTACTTCCAAATTAACGTCTTGAAACAATTATTCGCTTAAATAGTTATTAACAATTTACAAGAATATTGTTAGCAAACAAATTAGTCGATTATTGGCCAATCCAACTGATTCAGTTTAACATGACTATGGTGGAGGTGAAATAATAACATAATGGCGGATAAGTTGATAAACATTACAAAGTAGAGGAATTTATTTGGAGATAAGAAAATGTGGCACGAAATACGTGAGAAGAGTAAGGCTTATTTTGCAAACGTATGTATTCGACAGTACGATGCGCAAGAAAAAGAATGTGACACATGATATTCTTATTACTAATGAGCACGTACACTGTGCTCTCGCGACAAGATTTTGCAAGCGTGTTATATATCACTCGCTGTGCTCCGCAAAAGACCAAATAACATTTTAAGACAATTTGTGGTATATCAAGAAATAGGGAAAGGAAAAGGAGTAATATAAATAAACAGCAGATCTTGTGATTACAATTTATAATTTATATATTTTGAAAGTGTTACATATAAGTGTACAGATTAACATTAGTTTATTTTATTACCAAATTTATGCTTACGGAGTGAGCTAATGGAGTGAGGTAAAGCATAATAAAAAAAATATATATATAATTTTATTAAAATAACTGATTAAATAGGTGTTTTTTTTCCACAAAATTTTTAGTAACGTTTGTAGACAATGATTTCGCGTGCATTGATGATGCTTGCTCTATTGAGCAGACATTCCTCAATGCACTCACGGCATTCAATCGCCTTTCCGATATTTGTCATAATTTGTTCATTGCAACGTACACAAAATAACGATATGTGTGGTGTATACGTGCTTCGATGATGAATGGTATGTTTTGTGTGTATTAATTCATAATTGTTTGGCCGTTCGATATTAAAACAATTTTCACACATTTTCCTCCTTCTCAATCGTCCGTTTTGGATGTATACATTTTGTTGTGTCAGATTTTTTAGGCAGAAACACCAATTTAATGCAATGTACACTCCCTCTGTTAAATAATCCTGCGGCCGCACTCCATCAATCGGACCGTAATATTCGTCCCAATTTTTATTTAACTGGTCGGGTGTCGCTTTCATCTTCTAAATTTTACAGTATAATATATTAAAAAATAATATTAATAAATAAAAAAATAAATATAAATTTATTTCTGGATTACTTACTCTTTCTGTATGTCTTTGTAAAATCAAAGAAATATAACTATATACCACAAAGGTACAATACGTCTCGACACACGAGATGTCTGCTCAAGACTGAGAGTTGATCGTTGGAACGACCAGCCAAGAAAAAAAAAAAATCCCACACATGTGCATTTTGCAACTGTGCATCCATGAAATCAGAGCTCACTTAATGAAAAAGATACATCCAGCACAATGCAGCTATGCTATCCTCAGACATCATGCCGCTTTGCGCTAACGATTCGTGAAACTACAGCGATGATAAAAGTTGAACAATTCTCTGGCACCGAAACCACCAATTGAATATCTTTGTTACATTTTGTAAAAAACAGCTACAAAAACGGTAAAGAATGGTAACAAATAGGTAAGTGTAGATAGAGGCTGCAGATAAGAGGGAGGAGATGGAGATTATCGATGAGATGGAGGAATACGATGAAGAGGAGGAGGAGGATAAAATAATTAGAATCAATCATGGCGATATTGAAATAGTCATTAATTTATATTGATATATTTATTATTATTATTATCATTCTTATTATTATTATGGTTATTATTATTATTAAATAATATTAAATAATATATAATCGATAAATGTAACAAACATTATAATAAAAATTTATTGTGCATATTAAAGGTTAAATAATTTTTTTGGCGGTGAGACCACCACCGATTAAATATTTTTAGTATATTTTGTAACGCACAATGTTTTGAATGATTATTATACCGATTATTAACACGTAAAATGTTAGTTGCATCCAGTTTGTCCAATGAAGCCATATCCTCGTAATCTGAGTCCAGAGTTTCAATAATCACCTTGCTCCTCACATCATCATTGAGGAGATTCACCAGCCACTCTCGCTTCTCGTATCCCTTGACGTAGACGAGTTTCTTCGCTGGTTTTGCTGACCACAGCATCTGTGATCAAACGCTTCGCTTTATTGTACGGGACGATTTCATCCTTCTACTGCAGACCATGATGATTAGCTGTCAACCATGCTGCTTTCGATTTGTCAGCTCTCGTGAGAAGATGCCACGACATAAAACTCGCAAAGACATAATGGGACAGAACAGTTCCATTTCTAAGTATCGCTATCTCTTTTACGATAAATCTCATTCTAACCATAAATCCTTGCAGGTCCACAAATGTAGGCATATTCATTTTTATATGATTTTGCGCACAATGTTGGTCAGAGGACTCCACAATGCGATCGTGCAGAATGAAGCAGTAAGTTGTGATATCCATCGGTATATTTTCATTGCAGTCGAATTCAATTCTCATGTCGACGGTGGCGCTCTTGATGGATTCGTTTTGTCGCGAGCAATCGTTGACCATAACCAGACAATGAGTAAAAAATTGTGTGGGATCAAACAATACATTGCCGTTGTCACATCCATAATATGTTTTGCGGAAACGTGCGTACATATCGTACAGAACGGCGTATTTCTGTTTATCGAAATCCAAATTCATATCGTCGTACGGATAAAATTCCGAGTTGAGATAGAGTTTCACGTTAGTCAGTTTACAAAGGTCGAATATGACAACATTACCAGTGAAGGAATTCTTTCGACTAATCTGCAGAGCAAAGATGACATAACGCGGCTTCTCCAGCTGAATCGTGGCCTTGACAGCCCACGAATGCTTGGTCGTGCTCTGTAGGAGTTGAAATTCGTACAAATTCCACAAGCGAAAACTCATGCTCAAATATCGACCGCTTTCCGGAACTCACAGCATAGACAGTCTGTTTACATCTTTCAGCATAACGTGAGGCATTTTCCATTGTATTTTGAACAAATCAATCTTTGGATCAGAGTTTGCATGTCCCACCACGCAATTGTAGTCGTTGCGTGAACGTATCAAGATCAACTTGTGACGAGCGTTGATTACGATCCGTTTGTAGTCCTCACAAAAGCCTAGCAATGTGTTGAGCGGGACATAATAATTTAAAGTATCCCGCAAACATGTACTTCGAGAGATCCCGATCGGCGTTCTTTAATAATAAATTTTTGTCACGAGTCAGCGATATATAGTGTTTGAGCGTGCTCATTACTCCAACGTTTCTGCAGCGGTCAATCTCTACACCATTGAGTTCGTACCGGATTTCATCGAACAGGAAGGCCGCGCAATTATTTATCAATATCTCAACTGCCTGGTTATCACCTTTGGTGAGGGCAGGTGATGATGCAGAAGGTAGATAACACGTTTTCGGTATTACTCTCGCAAGTAATCCTCCTTTTTATTTATGACAACACAAAACTTAATCTAAAGTAACGAGCGACCGCTTTGTCCGCCGCTTTGTCCGCCGCCCATTCAGACACTGCCTGGTTAACGCTGAATCCGCATGAGGATGCTGCTCTCGTTCCACCGTCCCCCTTGGTCAGGACTCAATATATCGCCCCCCTTGAAAGACATTAACTTTCAACATAAAAAAAGAAATAAAATGAGAAACGATGAACGGATTCAAATTAAAATTTCAAATGGTTGATTATAACTAGTATAATTATTTGTCCACCGGCAGTACATATATTTTAGATAAAGCCCTCTTGGTTTCGCCGAATTGGATACACAGTGTAACTACTCGAACTAAATTATCTTTTCCATAAGTTAACTCTTTAACTCTACAGAGTCTTCATTCAGTTGGAGGTGCATTGTCGTCGCGAATAAGTACTAACGCTCCCGGTTTTAAGTACGGGTGATAATTGGGACAAATGCGTTTCCATTTGGTTCGATATTGCAATTGTGATAAATATTCACGAGACCATCGATTTCAAAACCTTTAAATGAGTTGAGTGAGAAGTTGATATCTATTCAAGCGGTTTACCAAGTGAGTCCCAGATGCGCACATTGACAAACGGACACATCCAATCATATGTCGTTGTTTATAGAGTCTCTAGAATATCTGACATACGGCGTTGTGGTTGGCTGTGTCTGTTTGGCAATGTGCGCATCTGGGACGCTCCCGGTTTACCGATAGAAAAGTAACATCCTTTTCTGGTAAAGCGACCATCGGGGTGCCCCTATTAAAAAATACTCTAGTGTTAGCGCTGTAAAATCTTGCGCGTCATTGGACATTGGTGACAATGGTCGAGAATTCAAAATAGCTTCTATTTGGATAAAAACTGTAGTTAGTTCTTCGAAATTTAGTAAAGTTTGATTAATGACTGCTTTGAACAGATTCTTTGCTGCCTTCACCGCAAACTCCCATATTCTACTCATATGAGGAGAGTAAGGGGAAATAAATTTCCATTCGATAGAGTGTTCAGTTGCAAACTCCTGGATTTCAACTTGCGATTTTTTATTTTCCAGGAATTTACTAAGTTCATCTAATTCATTTTTTGCACTCAGAAAATTTCTATCATTGTCGAACCAAATACATTTGCTTGCGACGAGATATGAAACGTTTCAATGCGTTCAAAAAACAAGATGTGGATAAATCGGTTACAATTTCTAAATGAAATGCCTTAGTGGCCATGCAAACGAAAATGGCTAGATAAGCCTTCCCAATCTTGTTACGAGAAATTTTTATACAAAACGGCCCGGCATAATCTACACTTGTATTAGTAAATGTTCGTGAGGCAGTGAGTCTACTGGAAGGAAG